AAACAAACAGTTATAACCGACGCAATACGTTGATACTCGATGATTCTCCTTCAACGTACCGAGAAAATTATGGGAATGCAATTCCTATCGCTTCCTATGCTGCAAGTTCGAAAGATCGTGAATTGCAACGAATTAAAAGTCTTTTAGAAACATTAATCTTGTCAGATGATGTCCGAACAATACATAAATTACCCGAATAAAATTTATTTTTGAATCAATCAATCAATTTATTTGAAAGAAAATTTAGTTTAGAGATGAATTTGTTTTTGGTTTCGGATTCCCAACGTTCAATATTTGTGGATCCACTCGTGGTCCTAAACTTGATAAACCGCCGGGTGGAGCTTCTGTCAGCTGGTAAATTCCACTTGTCGGTGCAGGAACGCCGCCAGCGAAAAAGAATTCGATATTGTCAGGTAATGGATCATATGAAGGTTGAAAATCTTCAGAAGAAAAGCGAAATGAGAATTTCAGTCGAAACTTCGCACTTACTGCCTTGTGAACAACAATCCATGTTGATGCGGAGATAAAAGTATATGATAATACTGTATTACAAGAGAAGCACGGAGTAAGCGACAGTGTGTGACGAAAATATGAAGAGAGAAAGGAAGAGAAAAGGCATTTCGATTACGCGGTTTATCCACTTAGTAAAGAATGAAGAAAGCAAAACAAACAAACAAGTAAATCGAACGAAAATATTATCATGATTATATCCTCAAACGGCCTTGAAAGCGAAAAATATCGCGAAATAAACTTTTACTCTACAAAATAAAATATTCTTCATAGTTATTCATATGAGAAGCTTCACATCTGCTGAAATATCAGATATTATTCAAAATGAATAACGATTTTACTGGTTATGTTGCATTCTACGTTTCAATTATATCAGGAGAAAATGAAAATTATCATATTCATTCAACTGATTTCACTTGCGATCTGTATGGAGGACTTTTTCACCAACAAATATCTTGAAGCTTATCTACGCGTTGGCGAATATTTGAAAACTCATCGTCCGCTAGCATCAGCACGTATGGAAACACTGGAAAATAGTAACAATATCGGTATTGGTTACGATCCATTACATGGTAGTCCGGTGTGCTACACTGCAAGTTGTCAAGTCGATGGTTTCCGCAGTCCGATATTCAAACTCAATTATGTTCAGAGTTCAGCAGGTGGTTGTACTTCTAAACTGATTCCCGAAGGTGTCACCATGCAATGTTTGCCGGGAAGTGAACGAACCACCGATACACAAGTGATTGATAAGCTCGAGCGTCTCAAACAAGTAACAGAAAACGGATTCGAAATCAGTGGTGGTGCTAAATATCAATGGTATTCGGCTAGCTATAAATACTCGAAAGAAACGCGATTTATTGTCGACCAAATCTATCAAGAAAATTCTGAAGTTCTCTATACAACACTGAAAATATCACATGCGAAACTATCGATGTTTGAACCTCGCATGAATCTATCTGATGATTTTCGATATGTTATCGAAAATTTGCCTTGCTGCGATTACAATGAAATAGTGGAGAAGTATATTTATGATTACATCTTTGGATATTTTGGCTATTCGTATGTTACTACACTTGTGTTAGGTGGAATCGCGCAGCAAAGCATAATCATCCATTCGTCAAACGCAAGTGCTCTGGAAGAGAAAGGAATTAAAAAGAGTCACGAAGCAGATCTACAATTTGCCGTTTCTTTCGGTTTGAAACCGAGTGGAAACCAAGACAATGTCACACATGCAATGTTCATGAATTCTGTTTCAAAGAGCTACACGACAATGGTAGGCGGCGATCCATCCATTAGTAAAATAGAAGATTGGGCGAAGACTGTGCAGAGTAATCCGGTGATCATTAAATTTACAATTAAATACATCTTCGATATTCTCACACAGGCAGAAAGTCGTTTTCCAACTGATGCGAATATTGGTGTCAAAGCGAAGATGATCGAACAAGCAGTGAATAATTACATCGATACACCTATATACTGCTACGGAAACAATTGTTCCAGTCATGGCAGCTGTCAGGACACGGGTTACTTTCAATTCGGTGAATGCCAGTGTCAGAACGGATGGTCAGGTCTTGACTGTTCAAAGAAAGTCGAAGAAAAACCAAAACCGTTAGTACTTAGTGGCACATTGTGTGGTACCAATACAAGTCTTGCCTGTGGTGATGCAGGTCTGACTTCCGGTTGTCCTGCAGGCTGGCAAGGTAATCAATGGTACCATTGCAGTAAGGTCACAACTGATCAACAACCAAGTCTTGTCGGTACTGTTTGTGGTTATCGAGCAGGAAATTTAACAGTTTTATGCAACGGTCGTAATCCCTATTCAGATGCATGCCCCGTCGGTTATCAACGTCATCAGCAGACACCGACAACATTCTGTTATAAAACTAACGCAAGTACCGATGATTTATCTGGCACAATATGTGGGATGCAAGTGATGGAATACACAGATTGGAAGATTTCCAGTTCTTATTGGTCGATTGTCTCGGAAATTACCTGTGATGGTTATTATCCAGGGAGAGGATCATGTCCACCGGAGTACATTTTGCGAACAGGTTCCTATGCTACCGTGGTTCCATGTGGATTCATGGACTGGGGAAATTGCGACAGAATATATAAGTATTCTTTTTGTGCTAAGAAATAAATGAGAGAAATTATAAAAACTATGTAAATCAGCTTTATGAACATTTAACGACAACAAAAGTTGTTGGTTCATACGAAATCCAAACTAAAGAAACTACACAAAGTATAAAAGCAAGAGATATGCTTACCTAATAATGGTTGTTTAATAAGAATCTTCGAGCAGAATTGAGTTATTCTATGACGGAAGAACATTCGAATTAGGTGCTCTGATTTACTTCTATGTATAATGTAAGAAATTTTTGATATTTAACTAAAAATTATCTTTTGATTGACTTTGTCGTTCCCAATTGATAATTTATCACTATTCAAGACACTTATTTAACAGTCAGCGACATATACTCTTCTCATGATGGTTCTAGCGGAATAGAATTCTGCAACAGTTAATTAAGATGGACTTTAGAATATGAAACAAATCGTTCTTGACGCTTATGGCTAATTCGATATTTTCTGTCCGAAAGAAGAGTGTAACTTTCGATAATATAAGTACTTCCATGAAGAAAGACACCGCACCTATTTCATTTTATTCTCTTCACAAGAAAAGCAACATGTCCGTATTTTTCTTTTCAATTCGTCACAAAGTGTTCTCTCTCTATTCTGTTTCACGACATACACCGATTCACAATGACTCACCACCAACCACGTGAATAAGCTAATTTACATAAAAATAACGCATTCTTGTACAAATAGCATAGAAAAATAACATCGAAGTTCACCTGAAAAAGTGCATTGACAGAATGAGTAAGTATGCAAAATGTCATGGATGATTTCCTTTTAGTCAACGCCCAAGAAACCAAACATCTTTCTTTGATCAGTCATTTTTTCATATATAAAAAAGTATATTTCTCTTCTTAGTGGTATATTATTGAAGATCATAAACAATCAAATAAAAAGGATCTAAAGGCAATAAAATGTTATTAATAATTGTCTTTTTCCTGGTTATTCACCATGAAACGGGCGCTAGTCAACTATTAAAGTGAGTTCTTCATTAGAAACATACTTCTATTCACTCATTTCTTTTCTTCTCAGAATTCCCATCACTCGTGTACAATCACGCTCTTCATCAACTCATAACTGCACTGTTCTGCAAACTAACGTCACAGTATGCAACAGAATATCACCAACCTTCGGCAAAGTTGCTGTTGTCAAGTCTTCAGCTTTCGAAAGTCTTGTCAACGAAGCTGACGTAACTTCTTATTCTTCCTTATACTTCACATTCATCAATACTTCTCTCGCGTAGACATACTTCTATGGAACCATCTACATCGGCACACCGAATCAACCTTTTCTCATCAATTTCGACACAGGCTCGTCCGATCTCTGGGTGCCATCCAGCAAGTGTTCGTCTGCCTGCAGTATGTTCTATCGATATCCGTCTGATCTGTGTATAGCCGTTGTTTGGTTGATATTGTAGATCAGTTCAACAAATACACATCATCAGCATCATCAACATATATTGCTAATGGAAAACCATTTTCCATCACATATGGCGATCAATCTGGAGCGAGTGGCATCTTCAGTATCGACACTGTGACAGTAAGTGTTGGTGTTAGTTTTACGATGAATCATCTACCCTTCTGGCTATAGGTCAATGGTCTTGCAGTTCGAAATCAAACATTCGCTGAATGCACGTCATTGTCAGGCATGGAAAATGATGTGAATGATGGTATCCTCGGACTCGCTTATCAGAGTTTGACAACAGGCGGCGAAAAGCCAGTGTTCTTCAACATGTGGTCTCAAGGTCTCATTGCCGAACCGATCTTTTCTTTCTATCTCAATCCGTATGTATTTCACACCCTCACCCTCAAGATGGAGATGTTCTGTTCTAGTGACACAAACGCTACAACTGGTGGCGAACTCATCTTTGGAGGTGTTGATTCAACAAAATATTCTGATTCAATCACATACATTCCGGTAGCACTCGAAGGATACTGGGAATTTCAAATGACAAAGTAACATTCTCATGAGGAGTTTTGACTGTTGAATGAGATGGTTTCGAATAGAGTGACAGTTGGATCGAGTGTGATAAGCACATCACCGTACGCCATAGCTGACACAGGCACAACATTGATCACTGGACCGACGAAACAAGTCAAAGCATTGAACGCAGCTCTGGGTGGTACTTATGACTCATCTAGTGGAATGGTATGAGCGTGTTATTTTGATCAGTGAATAGTTGAAGTGAATGATTGTAATTACATATTTCAGTACACAGTCAGTTGTTCGACACGAACACTCTCGTCGTTTCCTAATGTGGTGTTTACGATGGGTGGTACAGACTTCGTTCTAACACCACTACACTATCTGATGATTTATCAAGAGAGTTCAAGTAAATACGTGTGTTACAGTGTATTTGCAGCACTGGACTCCGAAGATGCAGATAATAATGATTTTTGGATTTTGGGTGACTATTTTCTGTATTGGTACTACGCGATCTTTGATATCAACAACAATCGTGTGGGTTTTGCAAAATCAGCTTCATACAACTGGACGCCGACGGTTGATTCATCTCTGTTTCTTGGAACAGCGACAACAACAAGTGCAGGCACGACGACTACTGCAACAACAACGAAAGCGATGATAACGACAACAGCCCGTTTTACAACCACAACAACTACAGCAAAGGTGGCTACAAGGAATACGACGAAAGCAGTAACCACCCCAACAACTACAAGGAAAATTGTGACAACTACGAAGCGACGACACCATCGACATGGATCACGACACCATCATTGGCACTTTTAACTGCACCAACTCGAAAATATTGACAGCTTTATGAAATATCACAATGAATCGCATTTTTGAGAGAAAGATAAGAGAAAAGATTCGATTTTAATACAGATTTATTGAATAAAATAAAATAATTCTGATCGTTCGAATATGCAGTTCTAATAATCATTTTGGCCACTACCGGGTCCTACCTGACCTTCTCCATATTTTTCATTTGCTAATGCGTGTGCCTGATGAGCAGCGAGGTGTTTCAGTTTTTCTTGATCAAGAAAGTCGAGACCTTTCGTCTCAACTAATTTGTCGACTTCTGCAGCCGCGAAAGCAGCTAGCAATTCTTTCATTTTACCGTGCGAGATCGTCTCACCATTGTTTAGGCAGTAATCTTCATACTGTTTCATTGCTAAACATAAAATAATTTAAAAAATTAAAATCGAAAGAGAGAAAGTTTACCAGCGAAACCGGCAGCTGCAGCGACTAATTCATGTGTCCAATGCTTTTTATGATGGGGTTCATCAGCATAAACTTTGTTGTACGATTCTTCGCTATCGTTCAGATTCATCGTTTGAGCCGTCGTATCGATTGTGAATGAATAAAAGCCAAGAAAAGAGGCAGCTTTATATATTCCTCAATGTTAACTAGACTATTTACTCCCGTAATGTACTTTTATAAGAACGAAAGGTCATTACTTTCGCATAAAAATAAACAGGAAAAAAGCGGTGGTGTGTGTATAGGAGTCATTTTTTGCGTTCTTTTCACGAGTAGCGTTCACCATGGAAAACGATCGTTTATTTAGCATATTTCTCTCCTATCGGGTACGAAAGAAACCATTGAAAGCAACATATATCATGAATCATGCGCAAATAAGTTTATGTTGATTGAAATCAAAATGGTACGTATGCCCATACTCTTCCACCCACAATGACTGACTCAAGTTTTGACTGAATGAAACGAGATGACAGACTATATACTCTCAATCGCTTGAAATTAAAAAAGTACGAATAATATTCGAGGATATTTATTGGACCTTGATTGTATCACATTCCGCGTGCGCTTCAATGCATCTTCCACATCATGGAATAATTACGTGACTTTTTTGCGAGTAATATGTGAACATGTTATTATCATTTAACTTACATTCACACTGCTCTCTAATAGAAGGAAATGTAACTTTTTTCAAAAGAATAAAATTACATCTGCGCCATTTCTATGTCATGATCTGTGGTTGAACGACTTACTTATCTCGACCTCTTCGGCTTCATAGTTCGATTTCAATGAGAAATGACATCTCTCACAAGAACAGCGACAAATCTTTCAGCCAGTTCTACAAATTATGATACCGTTGCACCAATCTCAATGGCATTTGCACTTGTTGCTATAGTCATATCTGTTTTAATATTAACATTAATTATTTCAACCAAACAATTACATACAGTCAGTCACTTGTTAACCTGTAACACATGTATAGCATCAATCTTGTATTGTATTGTTCAATGTAACAACTATATTTATCTCCTATTCATTAAATGGAACATGAGTGATGAATCTTGCCGCTGGCGAGGTTATTTCGGATACACATCTATCGTTGCTGTTATTTATTCATACCTTTTACAAGCCATATCAAGATTGTTTTTTACCATTCTTTCCACTAAATATCGCTGGATAGTTTCGTTCAGAGTGCATCTCTATTTGATTTTCATTGGCTGGATCGTTGTGTTTCTTGTCCCATTACCAGCAATTACGACTAAAGATATTTATTACCGCCAAGGTTTTCTTTGCTGGGTACCAAAGCGATTTATGTTACACGTTATTTACACGATTATAATGTATTATTTACTACCAATCGTATTAATTATTGTAATTTACATTTTGATTTATAAACAAGTACATTCACATGCGAATAAGAACTCAATTGTACTAGATCAAACAAAACGAAAGAATCTCGATTTGACAGTCTTTCGCAAGATAATGATTTTGCTTAGTATTTACGTACTCGGAGCAGTACCTTCGTTATTCTATATGTTAACAAACGTGGAACTATTCTATTCGATCGGAATTGTAAGTGTGTCGTTTACAGTTATGATTGAAAGATTTCTTTCATTACTTATCGATCGAGATATTCGAGATGTTCTTAAAAAATGTTTATTCTTTCGAACTAATCAAGTTACACCGATCGCACCCAAATAAGTCGTTTGCATNGTCTTTGATATCAAAAACAGTCGGGTGGGTTTTGCAAAATCAGCTTCATACAACTGGACGCCGACGGTTGATTCATCTCTATTTCTTGGAACAGCGACAGCAACAACTGCAGGTACGACGACTACTGCAACTGCAACGAAAGCGGTGACGACAACAACAACAATAACAACCTCGCATAGCCCGATGAGCGCAGTACCAACAACAACAGAGCAAAAAACGGCTACACAAGGAGGAAACAGTGTATTTCGTGCATCTGACATTCTGTGGATTTTTGTTGTAGTTGCCATACTGCGATCGTACTTTTGAGAGCATGATGACATTTATGAGATTGTAGAGTTCTCAGGACATTCCTTGTAATTTCAGTCATATTCGTAATGTTTTGCAGACTTGTACGGTGTCTTTTGTTTTGTAATTTGAATAAAAGATCAGTAGAATGATGCCTATTGGATATGCTTGAAAATATTGTTTACAGCAGAGAGATAGACAGATGTCTCTTGTACATGGTCGAAGATATCCGATGAAATTAACTCAGTTTCGAAGTTGGTTCCCCTTCAGGCGCCCACTACGACAACTAACTAAAGTAGGACGAGCGTTTTATTGACTAAATATGTAAATAATTAATGACCTCGGTTGTTGTGAAAATACATCATCAATCTCAAATGTATGAACCTCAATACCACAGTCTAAGTAGAGAGATAAAAAACAGCGGTTTTCGAAAGTTTCATAGATTGCAATGCTTGATTCACTTCAATTAGACATGGAATATTAGATATAGCATACCGATCGTTTTCAAAAACGATCTCTTCAAATTCAGTTCCATGTATAATTGATTGAACAGAAAACTAGTGTTTGAATACGTCTCTATCCAGAAGTATAGTCGCTAAGAAACGTTTATCGACGCCACTATTACCAAGAATAATTAAACCATATCGATTTGAATTCGAACATGCCATCAGTGAACTATCATAAGAAAAAGACGTACATTGCTTATCCATTGAATCGTCGATAAATAATAAAACATCGATGTTCCAATATCGCGTTGTTAGTGCATTCAAGCATGAAAAGATATAGTTTGTTGAAAGTAATTATGACAGACCGAATGTGGAAATAGCTTTCTAGAGAATCTTGTTCTGGATAAAGTCTATTTTGAACATTATTTTCATGCCCTTTCGGTTACACATCGAACTGAATCGGTCGTGTGTGCAAGACGAAATTCAACGTGCTATGGAAGAATAGAAAAGGAATCCTATTATGCTTATCTATGTGTTCGGATTGTTTACTTGTCGACCAAATGTAATCAAAATATCTAGTCGCGAAATGCTTCTCGAATAAGGCAAGTTTCATTTCGATCGAAAAAATATACACATTGTTTTTATCGAGACCGACAAAAAATTGAACAAATATGTTATGAACTCAGACAGATTTACGATTTGATCCATTGGTTAGAAATACTCGACACGACCTTTTATACAGTTTCAATTGTCAATATTTTTTACTGCCGCAATCTTATTTTCAAAACGACTGATTACATAAAAAAAGAGTAGTCTTGAAAAAAATCAAACAACTGTATTCTTCCTTTCCATTACGATAACCTTCTCTCACCATGACGCATCATAAAGACGACAAATGAGCCCGACATGAAAACATCTTTTCTTTCACTCGTCTTGTAAAAGTACACCAAGGTTCATGAAGAAAAGTACATCGAAAGAATGAGTAAATGTTTTTTCTCGACGACGTTTTGAAAAAAATATCGTCGTGCAATGATTCATACTTACATATTTATATACATGAAGAGAACGACTTCTTAGTAGTGCATTCATAGAAAGATACTATTCAGACAGAAAATGAGTCTCAACATGACCAAGGCAATGTTTAAACTACTTATCCTCATAGTTTCCTCCTATGAAATGGGTGCTAGTCAACTATTAAAGTGAGTTCTTCGTTAGGAAACATATTCCTATTCATTCCTTTCTATTCTTCTCAGAATTCCCATCACTCGTGTACAATCACGCTCTTCATCAACTCAAAACTGTACTGTTTTCCAAAACAACGTCACAGTATGCAACAGGATATCACCAACCTTCGGCAAAGTTGCTGTTGTCAAGTCTTCAGCTTTCGAAAGTCTTGTCAACGAAGCTGATGTAACTTCTTATTCTTTTTTATGCTTCGCGCTTATCAACACATCTCTCGTGTAGGCATACTTCTATGGAACCATCTACATCGGTACANTTTTGGGCGACTATTTTCTGTATTGGTACTACGCGATCTTTGATATCAACAACAATCGTGTGGGTTTTGCAAAATCAGCTTCATACAACTGGACGCCGACGGTTGATTCATCTCTGTTTCTTGGAACAGCAACAACAACAACTGCCGGTACGACGACTACTGCAACTGCGACCAAAGCGGTGACGACAACAACAATAACAAGCACGATGAGCGCAGTGTCAAGAACAACAGTAAATATAACAGCGACCACTAACACAACTACGATGACGGCGAGACTAAATACAACTGTAAGTACAACAACAGAGCAAAAAACGGCTACACAAGGAGGAAACACTGTATTTCGTGCATCTGACATTTTGTGGACTTTTGTTGTAATTGCCGTACTGCGATCGTACTTTTGAGAGCATGATAAGACTTATGAGATTGTAGAGTTCTCAGGACATTCCTTGTAATCCCAGTCATACTCGTAATGTTTTCCAGACTTGTACGATATCTTTTGTTTTGTAATTTGAATAAAAGATCAGTGGAATGATGCCTCTTGAATATGCTTGAAAATATCGTGTACAGCAGAGAGACAGACAGATGTCTCTTCTACATGGTTGAAGATATCCGATGGAATTAACTCAGTTTCAAAGTTGGCTACCCTGCAGACGCCTACTACGACAACTAACTAAGGTAGGACGAGCGAGACATCATCGAAGTTAACAAGGTTAACAGTTAATAATTTTTCGAGTGACTTATGTCCAAATGTACACATTAGAATTTCATTTGCACCCTTTGTGGTTGCATTCAATGATCAACAAGTATTAAGAATCAAAGATAAAATCGATGATCTCATCACAACGTGAAATATTCAGTTAGATGTCTCTGTATATAAATATCAAAATAACTCTCACCCCTTTGCGATGGAACATCGCGCACATGACGATTTTATTGACTAAATATGTAAACAATTAATGACCTCGTTTGTTGTGAAAATACATCATCAATCTCAAATTTATGAACCTCAATACCAGTCTAAATAAACAAATAAAAAACAGCTGTTTTTGAAAGTTTAATAGATTGTAATACTTGATTCGTTTCTATTAGACATGGAATGTTGGATACAGCATATCGATAGTTTTCAAAAATGATCTCTTGAAATTCAGTTCAATGTATAACTGATTGAACAGAAAACTAGTGTTTGAATACATCTCTATCCGAAGTATATTCGCTAAGAAACGTTTACCGACACCATTATTACCAAAAATAACGAAACCATATTGATTTGAATTCGAACATGTCATCACTGAACTATCATAAGAAAAAGACTTACATTATTGCTTATCTATTGAATCATCAATAAATAATAAAACATTGATGTTCAAAATCGCGTTGTTAGCGCATTCAAGCATGAAAAGGTATAGATTGTTGAAAGTAATTATGACAGACCGAATGTGGAAATAGCTTTATAGAGAATCTTGTTCTTGATAAAGCCTATTTTGAACATAATTTTCCTGCCTATTCGGTTACACATCGAACTGAATCGGTCGTGTGTGCAAGAAGAAATTCAGCGTGCTATGGAAGAATAGAAAAGGAATCCTATTATGACTTTCTATGTGTTCGGATTGTTTACTTGTCGGCCAACAAAATATGATGGAAATGCTTCTCGAATAAGGCAAGTTTCATTTCGATCGAAAAAGTATACACATTATTTCTCAAACAGATTTACGATTTGATCCATTGGTTAGAAATACTCAACGCGATCTTCTCGACCTTTTATATATTTTCGATTGTCAACGTTTTTTCCTGTCGCACTCTTACTTTCAAAATGGCCGCTTTCATAAAAAAAAAAGAGTATTATCGTGAAAAAAACAAACAACATTATTCTTCCTTTCCATCACGAGAACCATCTCTCGCCATGACGCATCATAAAGATGACAAATGAGCTCGACATAAAAGCCTCTTTTTTTTCACTCGTCTTGTAAAAGTACACCAAGGTTCATGAAAAAAAGTACATTGACAGAATGAGTAAATGTTCTTCCTCGACGACGTTTTGAAAAAAATATCATAGTGCAATGATTCATACTTACATATTTATACATGGAGAGAACGACTACTTAGTAGCGCATTCATAGAAAGATACTATTCAGATCGAAAATGAATCTCAACATGACGAAGGTAATGTTTAAACTATTTATTCTCATAGTTTTTTCCTATGAAACAGGTGCTAGTCAACTATTAAAGTGAGTTCTTCGTTAGAAAACATATTTCTATTCATTCCTTTCTATTCTTCTCAGAATTCCCATCACTCGTGTACAATCACGCTCTTCAGCAACTCACAACTGCACTGTTCTGCAAACCAACGTCACAGTATGCAACAGGATATCACCAACCTTCGGCAAAGTTGCTGTTGTCAAGTCTTCAGCTTTCGAAAGTCTTGTCAACGAAGCTGACGTAACTTCTTATTCTTCCTTATACTTCACATTCCTCAGCACATCTCTCGCGTAGACATACTTCTATGGAACCATCTACATCGGCACACCGAACCAACCTTTTCTCATCAATTTCGACACAGGCTCGTCCGATCTCTGGGTGCCATCAAGCAAGTGTTCGTCTGCCTGCAGTATGTTCTATCGATATCCGTCTGACCTATGTATAGCCATTGTTTGGTTGATGTTGTAGATCAGTTCAACAAATACACATCATCAGCATCATCAACATATATTGCTAATGGAAAAAAGTTTTCCATCACATATGGCGATCAATCTGGAGCGAGTGGGATCTTCAGTATTGACACTGTGACAGTAAGTGTTGGTGTTAGTTTTACGATGAATCATCTACCCTTCGTCGGTCCAGTGATCAATGTTGTGCCTGTGTCAGCTATGGC